GGCGTGAGCTCAGAGGCCTCCGTGGGCACAACGCTGGTCCAGGCGCTCCGCCAGCCGCTCGCCCATCATGTGCAGCAGTACGTGCTCCTCCTGCTGAGCCTCGGGGACACCGTTGGGGAGGTAGGTAGCAGGGAGGTCGGGCGACCAGGTGCTGCTCAATAGACCTGTCACTTGTAGGGATGCCGGGGGAGGAGAGGAACGGTCCTGGCTCAGGGGACCCATCTGACTCAGGAACCCTGGCTTGAGAAAGACACAGCCATGCTTTTGGGGACGTGGCCCTGTTCTGGGGTACATGGCCCTGCTGTAGTGGAGCTAGCAGAGACCTGGGAAGCAGATGGAGAATCATGTACTGGGTGTGAGGACACCTGGCCCAGGTCCAGCTTTGGGGGGTGGGGGGTGTCACCCAGTGGTCCTCTGGAAGCACCTTCATGCTGGCCTCTCCCTCAAGGAAGGGCTGGCAGGGAGAAAAGGACAAACTTTGGCTTAGATCCAGACCTTCTGACCAGCTGGGGCCAGGCCAGGGCTGGGGCAACCATCACAGGGTGGCGGAAGGTTCTGACAGGCCCCCCCCACCTCCACCCCCGTCCCCCACTCACCAGCTGCTCTGTGTCCCTGCAGCGTCACCCCACTCGGGAGCTGGTGGTGCACGCGGCCACCCTCTTTGGGAACCTAGAGTCCTTCATGAGGCAGGCGCTGGACCAGGCCACCGCCACGCAGGCCCTCTGGCACACCCTGAGCAGCCGGCTGAGAGTGAGTTTGAGGCCTCAGGGCGGGTCAGGAAAGGGGACTCTTATCAGGCAGGGGCCAGGTGGCTGTGAGGGCCCTCTGTGTAGCCGTCCTCAGGCACTTGCTGAGTGCCTCCTGGGCCAGGCCGTGAGCCGGCTCTGGGGAAAAGCAGTCAGAACTGACTCTGTCCTGAGACGCCACCCGGTGATCACGTCCTCACGTCACCACCCACTGTGGCACGCACTGCCCCTACCGGGGCCGGCGGGGAGCCCCCTGTGCCCTGAGAGGGTGTGGCCGGCCTGGGACCCAGTGTAGAGAATTAGGGGAACAGAGAAAGGGGACAAGAATCGCCAGCGAGAGGCAGGGACCGCAGAGCCCCGGTGAGTGTTGTGGGGGGCTCGGCGGGGGCAGTGGCTCGAGGTGGGACGGGCCTCAAAGTGAAGCTCTGAGACAAGTTTGCTGCCCCACCCCCTCCAGATCTTGGAGCCCCACTGTCGTCACAGAGCTGGGGGCCTCCGGGAGATGGTTAGAGTGGGGGACAGGGGCGCCTGAGCCCTGTGCCTCCCCGCCCTCCTCCCCAGGATGTGCTCTGCACCCCTGCTCGCAGACTCCTGCAAGACAGCCAGGACATACCTGTGACGGTCACCCCGCTACGGGCGGAGCGCGTGCTGCTCTTCGATGATGCCCTGGTCTTGCTGCAGGTTGGGGTGGGGCTGCCCAGAGGTCCTGGGGCCGCAGCGGGGGTCGGGGGCCTGGCTGAGAAAGGAGTGGGGAGCGAGAACTTGGGGAGGTGATGGGGGCCGAGAGGCAGTCATTGCTGGGGGTGGGGGGCGGCAGGCCCCGCCATCCCTGGAGCAGGGTGAGCTATCGGGCAAGGCCGCGCGAAGTGCGTCCCAGTCCCGGCTGCCATCGCTGCTAACCATCTGTACCTCGGTTTCCTCATCTGGAAAACGGGACACTTGTGAGTGAGTTGGTCTTCAGCAGGTGCCGGACAACTCTTGGTTCTTTCTCTTCCTTACTTAGGAGGGGAGCCCCAGATGGGAGGTCAGGGGTGGCCCTTGGTGACTGAGGAGGGCTGGATGGATCCAGGCACACATGAGGCTTCTAGAAAAAAGTACTGTGTAGAACCAGGGCCTGGGCTCTGGACGTTGCAGAAGTCAGGGGGGAGCCAGGGCTGGGGTTTGGGATTGTTTCCTGGCCTGTAGTATCCCCCACCCTTGAAGTCATATGGCCCTTGTGATAGCCATAGCGCTGTCTTCTCTGTCCCCTCAGAATGCCAGGCTGGGGCTCCCCTGCAGACTGGGAGGCCGAGGCCTGGGGGGAGGCGGGGGCTGCTACTTGCCCTGTCTAAACCTGTATCTTCTGAAATCTGGTTCACTTTGAGCTCCTCTCCACTCTGTGCCCCAGGTACACCGATGAGATACTTCAATGCTCTGTGCCCTTTCCTACCTCTGGACCTTTGCATGTCCTGTACCAGGCCCACTCTTGTCCCTGCCTGTGTCTGGCACACTCCTCCTGCCCTTCGGGCCTGGGCCTGATGCCTTCTCCCCCTGCGGCGGTGAGGCAGTGACCTAAGTCAGGCAGGAGGTCGCTGCATGCAGTCTTGTAGAGGAAGGGGCGTTGGTCACCTCTCCAACTCTCCGGAGCAGGGATGGCGGTCCAGATAGAAGGAGCAGCACAGGGTCATGGACGGAGCCGGAGGCGAGGGAGGGGCTGCCCCAGGGTTCCCAGCCAGGCCCTTGGATGGGAAGGGGGGTGGGGAGCAGGCTGGGTGAGCCGGACTGAGTAGCCTGGGGACGCCCGGCCGCGTGGCAGCAGGTTGGTGCCTGGAGCACGACTGGCCCAGAGCAGGAGGGGAGCGTCTGGTCTGGGCCCTGGGTGACACCAGTGCCCCATCTCCTTCCAGGGCCACAGCGTCCACACCTTTGATCTGAAGCTGGTGTGGGTGGATCCTGGGCAGGACGGGTGAGCGGCCCCCTCCAATCACACCCCAGGCCTTCTCTCCCTCCACCCACCTGACACCGCCCGCACCCCAGGGCTTGG